ACCTTGTGATGATACAGTTGATGTCCCAGTGATGATATTCAGAGTCCAGTGATGATTACTGTTGATGTATCAGTGATGTTATTGATGTCCCATTGATATTACTGTCAGTATTATTGTGGGTCAATAGCTAAATTATCGATGTTCTAACGCATTTGATGTTCTAGTGATATTACTCAAACCTCAGTGATATAATTGATGTCCAACATATAATATTCATGGCAAAGTGATGTTACAATTGATGCCCCAGTGATATTACCGATGTTGCAGTCATGATATTTAAGATGCCCCAGTGATACTTGAAGAATGCTTACAGGGGTGTGGTCAACGCTCCCGCAACCTGGTCTCAGATCAGGCCTTCTGGTGAATCATGGCCTGATCAACCAGGTTGTTGTTGCTGGCCGCACGCAGTGCAACGTACGATCCACAGCCCAGCTGGTCAGTAACTGACTTAAAGAACCTAATCAGTTCAATCTTGAAGACAGCCAAAAGTTTGTTGGTAATTTCCCTTATGTAGGGAAGGAGAGTGTCAAAGAGTATGGGACCTCTGACACTGCGAGTTCTCTCGTAATGTACTCATCGTGTTCCTGATTATTGGAGTAATTCCCACATGCGGGTTTGGACCCAGTTCCTCTAGGATTTTCCAGGTGTAAATTGTAATGTGCCTTTCTCGCGTACGTTCCAAGGAATACAGTTTAAGGAATTTAAAGTGTTTCCAGTAGTTTAGATGCTTGACTGAGTGTATATGAGCATTGTAGTTCTCTGTACGTTTTCTTGCCCAGCAATCTAGTCTGCCTTGAAGGGGACAGTTAGTATACAACAGTATTCCAGCCTGGAGAGAATAAGTGACTTGAGTATCATTATTGGGTTCAGCATTTCCTTGTGTTGAAAGTTCTAGTTATCTAGCCAGTCAGTTTCCTTGTAGCAATAGCAACATTGTTGTGATCCTAATAATAATAATAATATCTTTATTTCTACAAGTACATGTACAAGGTATACAGACCTAGCTGACATCAATGACATACTACTATACAGAAAGCCGTTTGTTGTGCAGAGCATTTCGGGCAAATTAGGTTAGTTTTGTCCCAGGATGCAACCCACACCAGTCGACTAACACCCAGGTACCCATTTTATACTGATAGGTAAACATGGACAGCAGGTGTCTTGTGGAAACACGTCCCTAATGTTTTCCAGCCGTACCGGAGATTCGAACTCCGGACCTCAGTGTGTGAGCTGAATGGCTAGAGATGTGAGATCTTCTGATATCATTACATTAAAGTCTCATTCATGGAGGTTCGGCTCTACTGAATAGTTTGAGTTTGTCCTGTACTCTGTTTCACTTTTTATGTCCTCTGTTGACCCTTGCAGGCTTAGCGCTTCTTTTTTATAATAATATGCCATCTATTTTAGGCCCGCTAGAATACTTAATTCATATCCTTCAGATGATTCATCGTCTTCAGTGGACGTCAGTTTCATTGAAATTCTTGTGTCACCACAAAAGATGTTACAGTGCTGCGATTTGTCCTTGTCAAGTGTCGGATATCAGATTGAGAAACAAAAGTGGGGCGAGTTCTGTGCCTCGAGGAACAGCTTTTCACTGTGGCAGCCACCGACTTTACTGTTTATCACTACTATCTCTGTTCTGTTTAAGTTAAATATCCATCAGCCCACTTTTCCAGTTATTTCTTCTGTACACTATTACACCGTAATCAGACTTGTCGAAGGCTTTTGCGAAATCAGTGTACATGATTTCAGCATTTAGCTTGTTGTCCAGTGCATCCAAGATCATATCATAATTGTCTAGCAAGCGAGAAAGAGAGACCTGCTCTAAACCCAGCTGCCCTAAATTGTGCAGTTATTGCAATTCCATGCGATCGGCAATCTTGCCTCTTAGATTTATTCAAAGATTTTGATGTGTAGATTTGGCACTCTTGGACTGTAGTTTTTCACGTGTGTTTTACTCCCACCTTTGTGAAGTGGGGGCAGTGATGGTCTGTGATGACTGTGGGATGACACCAGTGTCCAGGCTCCTTTCTCTATAGAATACCAAAGCCCGAGATAATGGTTTCTTGCAATTTTTTATGAATACGGAGTTTCACGAGTCTGGTCTAAGAGCACAGAGTGCATGGCGTGCTGTCGATGTCTTCTTCAAAGTCACCTGGGGAGAGGGTCACCCGGGGAGAGGGTCGCCTGGGGAGAGGGTTAACTGGGGAGAGGGTCGCCTGGGGAGAGGGTTACCTGGGGAGAGGGTCACCTGGGGAGCGAGCCACCTGGAGAGAGGGCTACCTGGGGAGAGGGTCACCTGGGGAGAGGGTCACCTGGGGAGAGGGTCACCTGGGGAGAGAGTCGCCTGGGGAGAGGGTCGCCTGGGGAGAGGGTTACCTGGGGAGAGGGTCACCTGGGGAGCGGGTCACCTGGGGAGAGGTTCACTTGGGGAGACGGTTACCTGGGGAGAGGGTCACCTGGGGAGCGGTTCATCTGGGGAGCGGGTCACCTGGAGAGAAAGCTACCTGGGGAGGTCACCTGGGGAGAGGGTCACCTGGGGAGCGGGTTACCAAGGGAGAGGGTTACCTGGGAAGAGGGTTAACTGGGGAGAGGGTCACCTGGGGAAAGGGTCACCTGGAGAGAGGGTCACCTGGAGAGAGGGTCACCTGGGGAAAGGGTCACTTGGGGAGAGGGTCACCTGGGGAGAGAGTTACCTGGAAAGAGGGCCACCTGGGGAGAGGGCTACCTGGGGAGATCACCTGGGAAGAGGGTCACCTGGGGAGAGGGTCACCTGGAGACGGGGTCACCTGGAGAGAGGGTCACCTGAAGAGAGGGCTACCTGGGGAGAAGATCACCTGGGAAGAGGGTCACCAGGGGAGAGGGTCACCTGGGGAGATGGTCACCTGGGGAGAGGGTCACCTGGAGAGAGGGTCACCTGGAGAGGGGGTCACCTGGGGAGAGGGTCACCTGGAGAGAGGGTTACCTGGAGAGGGAGTCACCTGGGGAGAGGGTCACCTGGAGAGAGGGTTACCTGGAGAGGGAGTCACCTGGGGAGAGGGTCACCTGGAGAGAGGGTCACGTGGGGAGAGGGTCTCCTGGAGAGAGAGGCACCTGGAGAGAGGGTCACCTGGGGAGAGGGTCACCTGGGGAGAGTGTTACCTGGGGAGAGTGTTACCTGGGGAGAGGGTCACCTAGAGACAGGGTCACCTGGAGAGAGGGTCACCTGGAGAGGGGGGTCACCTGGGGAGAGGGTCACCTGGAGAGAGGGGTCACGTGGGGAGGGGTCACCTGGAGAGAGGGGCACCTGGAGAGAGGGTTACCTGGGGAGAGGGTCACCTGGGGAGAGTGTTACCTGGGGAGAGTGTTACCTGGGGAGAGGGTCACCTGGAGAGAGAGTTACCTGGGGAGAGGGTCACCTGGGGAGAGGGTCACCTGGAGAGAGGATCACCTGGAGAGTGGGTCACTGGAGAGGGGGTCACCTGGGGAGAGGGTCACCTGGAGAGAGGGTCACCTGGAGAGTGTTACCTGGGGAGAGTGTTACCTGGGGAGAGGGTCACCTGGGGAGAGGGTCACCTGGAGAGAGGGTCACCTGGGGAGAGGGTCACCTGGGGAGAGGGTCACCTGGAGAGTGTTACCTGGGGAGAGGGTCACCTGGGGAGAGGGTCACCTGGAGAGAGGGTCACTGGAGAGGGGGTCACCTGGGGAAAGGGTCACCTGGAGAGAGGGTCACCTGGAGAGGGGGTCACCTGGGGAGAGGGTAACCTGGAGAGAGGGTCACGTGGGGAGAAGGTCACTTGGAGAGAGGGGCACCTAGAGAGGGGGTCACCTGGGGAGAAGGTCACCTGGGGAGAGTGTTACCTGAGGAGAGGGTCACCTTGGGAGAGGGTCACCTGGAGAGAGGGTCACCTGGAGAGAGGGTCACCTGGAGAGAGGGTCACCTGGAGAGAGGGTCACCTGGAGAGAAGGTCACCTGGGGAGAGGGTCACCTGGGGAGAGGATCACCTGGAGAGAGGGTCACCTGGGGAGAAGGTCACCTGGAGAGAGGGTCACCTGGAGAGAGGGTCACCTGGAGAGAGGGTCACCTAGGGAGAGGGTCACCTGAATTTGTTCTCTTGTTCTTCCTCCAACTTTTCTATTTTATCTCGCTCACACCTGGAGTCCATCTGGGGGATGTTCCAGGGGTAAACGCCCCCGGAGCCCACTCCTTGACCAGACCTCCCGGTGGATTAGGGCCTTATCAACCAGGCTGTTACTACTGGCCGCACGTAGTCCAACGTACGAACCACAGCCTGACTGACACTTTAGGCATCTGTCCAGCTTTTTCTTGAAGATAACCAGGGGTCTATTGGTAATTCCCCTTATGTCTGGTGGGAGGCTGTTGAATAGTTTTGGGCCCCGGACACTTATTGTGTTTTAGTGTACTGTTGGCGCCCCTACATTCTCTAGATCTGCTATTTCACCTGCCTTGAATGGAGCTGTTAGTGTACAGCAGTATTCCATCCTAGAGAGAAGTAATTTAAAAAGGATCATCATTGGCCTGGCATCCCTTGTTTTCTCATTATCCATCCTATCATTTTCCTCGTAGATGTGATAGTGACACTGCTGTGATTTTTGAAGGTGAGAGCCTCTGACATTAACATTCCCAAGTCCTTCACGCTTACTTTTCCGCTCTATTGTGTGATTAGAGCTTGTTGTATACTCAGATCTAGTTATTATTTCCTCCATTTTTCCATAACGTAGTATTTGAAATTTGTCCTCATTGAAAATCATACTGTTTTCCGTTACCCATTGGAAAATTTGGTTCATATCTGCTTGGAGATTTACTGTGTCTTCAGATTATAGTATCGTCTGCAAAGGATGATACGGTTTATATCTCTATGTCTGACATGTGGATGAGGAAGAGAATGGGGGCGAATACTGTACCTTGTGGAACAGCTTTTCACTGTGGCAGCTTCCCCGACTTAACTCTGTTTACCACTACTCTTTGTGTTCGACTGGTTAGAGAGTTGAAGATCCATCTGCCCACTTTGCCAATTATCCCTTTAGCTTGCATTTTGTGCTCTGTTACACCATGATCGCACTTGTCGAAGGCTTTTACAAATACGTTTTGCATTCTATTTGTCTTCCACTGCATCCAAGACCATATCATAGTGGTCCACTAGTTGCGAGAAGTAGGAGCGACCTCTTCTAAACCCATGTTACCCTGAATTGTGCAATTGTTGAGAACCAAAGTGATTTGCGATCGTGCTTCTTAGAACTCTTTCAAAGATTTTTATGATGTGGGACGTTAGCTATTTCTTACCTACCACCTTTATGGAGTGGGGCTATATCCGTTGTTTTCGGTGACTGGGATTTCACCCGTGTCTATGCTCCCTCCACGAAAGGGGTTTCTTGCAGTTCTTAATGAACACGGAGTTTCACGAGTCTGAGCCTGGAGCTGAATGCATGGGCAT